AATGCAAAGATGTCCTTGTATTCTTTCAATAGTTTGTGAAAGTCGTCACCATGGTCTCTCAGAGCAGTCGTCCCAACTTTGTCTGTTCGGTCAGGACGTGAGTCGTCTAAGATCAGGTCCGCATGTTCACCAGCCGGCTGAGGGCGGAACTCATCCGACCGCTCCTCTGCCACTGATTGCTATTTTCTTTCTTTTCTTGCGGCCCCTGTCTGGGATGCCTTTCTCTTCTTGCCGCCTGCTTCTTGAACAGGCGCACTCTCCTTGACATTGTCAAGGTCAGTTTTTTCACCACTTGACCCAGTGGCCATAATAGTGGGCTTGACATCCGAGAGATAGCACTCTTGGGCCATCCTCTGATCTCCCCTTAGGGAGCCGACTGTTCCATTATCCCTCTCAAACTTGAGAAACATAAGAGATGGGATTATAACAGCCTTGGAATTATTCAGGGTTGGTCGACCCAGAATCATGTTGTAGGCCGAGAGTTCTTCCACTACCAGGAACCGGACTACCATGTGTCGTCCTTCCCCTTTTTCACCCAGGCGGATGGGTAAATCCACTCGTCCCAGTGGGTGGACGACTCCTCCTCCAAACCCTACTAAAGGGTGGGAGGCCGGATGTATGCAATCAGTCTGATATTTTAGTTTCGACAGACATTTGCTACTGATGAGATCTGAGGAGCTTCCGGTATCTATGAGGATTCGGCCAACTCTCTGGTTGGCCACTTTACATTCAATGACGATAGGGTCGTCATGCGGCCCTCTTACCCCTCCTAGATCTTCTTCAGTGATGACAATCTCAGGAAATGAATATTTGGACGGCCGTTCTTGGTGAACGGAATTTACATCTAATCGCCTGATATTGTCTTTGTTGCCCCTAATAGTGGGGCCGCCTCCTGAGAAGCCGCCTAAAATGGTGTAGACGACTGCATCATCTGTATCGGAGCTGTCGGCCTGTTGATTCTTTTTGGCCGACTGCTTTTTTGAGGAAGTGTTCCCCGTAGATTTCTTGACATAAGTGTCAAGATCACCTTGCTCAGCCATGCGGTCCAGGTACCGCATGAGACTGATGCAGTCATTGGTGTGATGACCAACATCATCATGATAAGCACAGAATTTATCTTGGTTCCGGTTGTTTGCAGAACCCTTCATGGGGACCGGCTTCTCAATTGAGATCCGTCCCTTGATTTCTTTTAGGATAAACTGGTTATCCTTGTTAAACGCATACTTTGGGGAGTATGGTTTGAATTCTTTTTTCTTTTTCTGGGCCGACTGTTTAGAGGAATCAGCCGCCCAGACCTCTTTTCTCTTCTCATCTTTGTTTGACGACTGTTTCTGTCGTCCTTCTCTTTTGTCGAACCTTTTCCCGTCCGACTGTTTTACCGTACAAAGATCAGTCGCCTGTATATAGGCTTCTGCTTCAATCAAGGCCTCTTGAAGAGTCGCCACCCTTTTTCGAACCAAATCAAATTTGAAGGTAGACCCGTCTTTGAGACCTCTGAAAAAGTCAGTATAGGCTACCTCATCCGGTAACCCTTGAATCTGTATTCTCATCAGGTTAAACCGCCTGATGTAAGAACGAAGCCCCTCCTTCTCGCCCTGCTGAATTGTTCTCAAATCAAGGGTCGTTTTCTTCGCAGGGATGTTCATGGCGAAGTTGGAGGTGAATAAGTAAGCAAGCGTCCTGAAGCTATTTACACAACCAGTCGGCAGGTTGCCGAACCATTTTGAGAGTCGCTGGGAAACACTTGCACCAAGTGGGATCATCCAACCCTTGAAGGTACATCAGGTTGGTGAATGCCATCAGATGGTCTTCTGGGTTAGTAGTGCCGTCATAGGCGCCTACTAGTACATTTTTCACTTTGGCCGGCTGAGCGGCTTCAGTAATTTCCTTATAGAAGGCCGACGGCTGTTCACCAAGTCTAAGCAACCGTAGCTGCCAGTCCATAGGTTGGACGTTTTTTTGCTGCAGGTCCACCAAACGGAGGTGGCTGCAAAAAATACTGTTGTTGCGGCACAAATGGTAAGTTTGGTACCGCCTGGTCGCTATGAAAGCCGGACTGACGGGAGGTGCCGCCTGACTGACTCTCATGGTACGGCTGAGTATGCCTCATCGAGGCATTTCGCAGACTGTCTTGAAAGTTTGAAGTAGAGGCCGACTCTGACAATCGGTCACTCTTCTTCTGCTCTAGCAGTAGCCGAGCGTCTGTGAATGTCTGCTTCGACCCGTCCGCCTGAATATGACGAACAGGTTTTCTATTTCCTGTAGGAAAACGGAATTTTGTGAAATCAAGGGCAGGTGGCTCCCGCTTCCTAGATTTAGGATGAGGAGTCGCCTCTCGCCCTTGAACTGGCTTCCTCTTTAGTGAAGTGGAGGGTTTCTTAGCCGACTGCTCCTTGACTGGAGCAGGCGGCTTCTTGTTGATCATCTCTTGAATCTCTCCCTTGAAGTTCCTCATGAAGGTCATGAGTTCGTTCCTTGTGATGGGAGCAGACCCATCAGTCGGCTGTTGCCGAACAGGCGGTGCGCCTGCTGGCTCACTTCTTGTTTGAAGAGGTTCCCGTTCCCTCCTTTCGGTATGACGGGTACGTCGGGCCCTTAAGGTCCCGTCTGAAGCTGTATGAGTTTCAACTTCAAATTCACTCTCGGTATCATGGTCCGACTGAACTTGAGGGTCATCTAGGGGACGCCTCTCTTCAGGAATCGGTACAGACTTGGATGCCATCTCAGAAGTACTCTCCCCACAGACGGCGCCAAATGTTTCGAGGTTTTCTGATGTCCTGCGGGAGAGTTACAATTCCGAGACTGGAACCGGACGCTTGTACCTGCAAAATAACGGAGACTCCTGGGAGCTCCGCCTCCAACGGTCAAGTTAGTACTTGATTAAGGAGTAATTAATGCGGAAATTAAAGAGATTGGGTCTCTCTGGGTGAGAGTGTTTAATGTAGGTAATCTGCTTTGTTAGCGAGATCAGCCGGTTTTTATTGTGTGTAATTATTGTGTTTTTTCCGTAATGTGTTTCGTAATCCCCCTTAATGAGAATTAAGGGAGGTATTTATAACCTTGGGAAATGTGCCCATCCTAGGTTTAGGTTAACCTAGGGCCGATTGGGCTTCCCTCGGAAGTTGGGCCTGGGTGGCCGGTTTCCCCATTAGGCATGGAGTATGCCACATTTCATGACATAATAGGTCCAAGGTGGACGAATAAGCGCGTGCCACGTGGCAAGCCCTGACAGTTCCAACTGGGGGACACTTGGCAGGACCTGATTGGCCCACGTGGCGCATTCCGATTGGTGGGAGCAAAATCCCTTAATTACTTCCTAGAAGGTGCCTGGTTACTTGAGTCTAGTGTGTTATCCTTCCCTCTCAGTTTTTCAGGTACCCTACTTTGAAGGTGGCCTGATAAAAGTTTGGGATAGATTAGGAGGTTGGTTGCCCGTAGGGCTTGTGTAGTTTTGGCGGTTACAGTCTTGTTTTTTGTAAAGCTGTAACTTTTATTCTTTGGTAATAAAATTTCTTATTTACCCAAAATAAAAAAAATAAAAAAAATAAAAAAATCCAAATGAAAGTCAACCACAATCAAATAAAGCTAATTGAATCAAATGAAAGTCAAACACATTTAAACAAAGCTTTTTGAATCAATTGAAAGTCTAATGCATTCAAGATAGCTAATTAAATCAAGGGAAAGTCAAACACATTCAAACAAAGCTTTTTGAATCAATTGAAAGTCTAATGCATTCAAGATAGCTAATTAAATCAAGGGAAAGTCAAACACATTCAAACAAAGCTTTTTGAATCAAACGAAAGTCTTCCACAAAGCTAATAAAATCAAATGAAATGTCAAACACATTCAAACAAAGCTAATTGCATCAAATGAAAGTCAAACACATAAACAAAGCTTTTTGAATTAAATGAAAGTGAAATGGATTCAAAAAAGTTAATTGAATCAAGTGAAAGTCAAACAAATTCAAACAAAGCTTTTTGAATCAAATGATTGTCAAATGCATTCTACGATGCTAATTGAATCATATGAAAGTGAAACACATTCAAACAAAACTTTTTCAATCAAATGAATGTCAAATGCATTCAACAAAGCTAATCGAATCAAATGAAAGTCAATGACATTCTAACTAAGCTAATTGAATCAAATGAAAGTCAAACACATTCAAACAAAGCTAATTGCATGAAATGAAAATAATCTAATGAACATGACTAGAAAATAGTGTCATAAATGACACTTATCATTTTACCTAGTAAGGTTTTTAATGAGGTAACCCATACCCCATTTCATGTCAACATTCAAGGGGAAGTGTTGAAGAACGTAAAAAAAAATGTTCACATGTAATATTTATTTGAGACTTTATAGTATGCATAAGAGTACAATAATGCGTATATTTTATTGTAATATTTGGCCTTTATAATGATAACTTAACGTAGTAGCATACTACTACATTTGACCTCGTCTTCTTTCACTTCCTCTTTAACTAATAAAAACTTCTATCGGTAAAAAGTTTTTGATAGAGGTATTATTGTTTTGTCGAGTTAGATATTTTGGACTCTGAAAGACAATCTTATAATTTTACTTAAGTAGAATATTACATAGAAACAAATAGGATGGCAGATTATGTAAACTCTTTATGACATCTAATAGTTTGCCAGTTTGAGCCTAATCTAAAAAGATAAATAAAGCATTAATTGAATAAAAGAGAGAGTAGTATGTGAAATAATCATATCCAAACAGATCAAAAAGTTTTGCTTGCTTATGTAAACAAACACAATGACAGCCCGGAAATTTGTTTTGTCATCTAAATTCTCAAATTGCCATACACCAACTTGAACAATTGGTTTGAAATTGAAATTGATTTGTTTCCGAAACATAACAACATCGTCTTCAATTCGAATTGAAATTGATTTGGCGACGGTGGAGATGGTTGTGGCCAAGATCGTCACAGTGGAGAAAATCTCAGAGAACCTGAAAGTCTGAAGAGAGTGTGATACTGTAGCTAGATAAACACAGTAACTTTGGTGTAATTTGAACAATAATTTCATTGTTTGCCGCAAATACATTGTACCTAAGTGTGAAGGTTCAGCTATTTACAACAAATCCTATCGTAAGCCAAGTTAATTAAAGTTCCCTTTGCCTTCACATTTCCAACCCACCATTTTTACACCGAAGAAAAAATATTCTAAGAAAATACCATGCAATTCCATTACCGAGTCTGTCATTGTCTCTTTGCTAACGTCTTCTTCAATCCTCTGAGTATCTTCCCGAACCACATCAAGTTCATTGCAGCAAGCACAGACGGCACAACAAACACCAAAAAGAAGCCAAATACATGCATTTGCATTACCTACATTTATAATTTGATAGAAAAAAAAAAAGGTTCAGCACATATTGTTATGTTGGTGGCTATATCATCAAGAAAACAGATTGAATGTTGGCATTCGATTGATGAAATAGAAGCCATTCAGCAAATGTACACATCCATTTTTGTTTGTATCACAGAGTAATGAAGTAGCTTTACCTTTTTAGTATGAATGCAACTACACATTACCTTTAACCTTGATGTCAGATATATAATTCTTGCCACAAAAACAAAATAGGACTCGTAAATGTACAATTTGCATATGAGCAAAATAAAATACAACCAGAGGTAGTTAGTGAAGCAGACAAAACATAGGCAGCGGTACTATGGTCTTTGTTGTCACTTTTCTTATGAGTAATTCTAAGAACAAAAAAAAAAGTACTATATAAGAAAGCAGTAGTGTTGACACGATATAGTAGTAGTATTTTGCAAATATGATGAATCTAAACACTAATTTATTATGCTAACACAACCTCAACTTTGTACCAAGTACTTGTTTGGATAATAATCTTATGATTCAATTCCACATTCAAGAAAGGTACCAATACTTATGAGAAGTAAGATGCTTACCAAATTTCCAGGTTTGATATTCCACTTTTGTGTCTTATATAGTGAACCCTCCATTAAGGTAAGCATACCCAAGGGAGAAGAAATAACCAAAACGATATGGGATAAAGACAGACAAGAGACAAGTTTCATCCTACTGATTGCATCAAGCCAACCCATAACAAATTATCAAATTTGACGCTTTACATGACCCATCTAGAGATTTATAGTAGTTCTTGACATATTATGACTGATATTATGCTTCAAGATGCTAGCATCCTTATAACCTTATTTCAAAGGCCGAAATCAGGAATGGATTTTGATCAAAAAATTCAATGATGGGCATTTGGTTCTTGAATGGGTGACTTTTGATGACAATTGGGCTTGATGTTATTTAAGTTTATGTAAAGGACAACTCCATAACAAAATTGGCTAAGCATATTTTAGTGCACAGAAGATACTTCATTTCGCACTATTGCTTGTGAGTTAATATGCCTTTTACATGGGTAAAATAAGCAGCTGCAGCAGTGCTTATTCTCAAATATGGGAGTAGAATTTATAATTTAAGTGTGAAGTTGGGATATCATGCAAGGAATTGGTTAGAATTTAGTGTAATTATCTATTGGTCGTAACATAGTTGTAAATCTTTGCATACAACTTTCCTTAGTTATGCTTTATCTTCACTGTTTTGTCTAAATCCCAAGCAGTTTGGTCAGTCTCGGAATACAAATACGTTCTTGGTGTAGGAGTCGTGAGCAACATAATTAGTAATTTTTAGTGGGTGCAATTAGTCAATAAGCTTATACAATAGCAGTTGTACTCAGTTTTCCCTTGCAAAAGTAATTGCACTAGTTTTGTTTCACTTCAAGGCATTGAAACTGATTACATTCTAAATAATCTTTATATTAAAACCCCCTCCAATTAGTGTTGAATGAAGTCCAAAATCTGCAGCTTTGTATGCACAAACTCCAAACATGAAAAGTCAGGCCATACGAATGTTGTAGCGGAAACATCTAGAATTTCAGTTAAAGCCTTACCTAAGAAATTCCAAATGAAGATTAGAAACTTAATATGGAATGTTTTCTTTTAAACCACATTTCTGAGGTTTGATCCTCGCACACCGTTATCTTTGAATACTATTCCAAAAGCTATACTCAAATGTAAACCAGTTTCAGAATTTTAGTTTTTGACATATGATGGCGATTTAGAAATTTCAACGAAGCAACTACATGGACAAGACACAATGCTAATGAAAAAAAGTACTCTACAAGACTTTCCTGCAGTACAGAGGACCGGTCACAAACAGTAATTATAGAAGGACATCACCACATATACAGCAGGAAGAATCTAAGGCAGTTACCTGTTCATAGTGAAGGTAAACATGATAGAACATGTAAACAAACAGCAGAATTCTTGCAACCTGCATTGCACATCACATTACATGTCAGGTTACAAATGAAAAGCAACACATTGATAAGTATTAGCCACACTCCTAACTTTGAATTATAGCCAGACAATTTCTGTGGTTAGAACATGAATTTAGGTTACTTCACTCAAAACAACTTACTACATAATTTCACTTTAACACAAATGTATACAGCTTCAGTTTCAAGCATAAGTTCATCGTCTCAATGCTTTAAATTAAGAAGCCAGAAGCGAGAAATGAGAAACAAAAAGATAATATCCCTCAAAGAGCCATGTACTCACCAACCAGGCAAAAAAAATCACAATTCCATTAATCAGATATGCATGAGATCTTTTCAATCCAGCTGTATCAAGAAACCTTCATAGTAAAACCAAAAAACAGTAAGCACTGATCAGCGTAAAAATAGAAAAAACAGCTTTGTAAAGAGCTTACCATCGCATGTTAATTTCAGGTGTTGTCACTTCAGAAATAAGGACCATGAAGGTGTAAAGTTGTCCTTCCCCAGAAAACATAGCATAAGCAACAGCAATTCCTGAAAGAGAATGATGTATAATCTGGGCAAAGTGGTCAGCATGTGAGGGAAGAATGGCAATAAAATGAACCAAGTAATAATGTGGGGTGTAGGAGGTTCTATGCGGTACCCTTGTCATTAAAACGAACCAAGTAATACACTGACTTAAATTGTCAAAGTTGTTTAGACTTTACCCTATACTCAAAAAACCTAGAGGATTTAATACCTAATACATGATAGACCAATGAGCCTTCCACTTTACCTATATTTTATGTTTCTTTTTATCTCCTATCTGAATTTAATTTACCACTGTTTTGCTATAAAGAAACTATCCATCAATAAAAATAATCCCGCAAAGAAAAGGAGAGCATAGGGCTGAAAAATTTGGAAACTATGAAAACAAGCAGTGAGCTCAAGTAAATAACAGGCAGGGAGATTCCGTGGAGATAGTCTCTTGCTCCCCATAGAAAAGGACCAGTCAGTCAAAAGCAACAGAGTTCTGAAAGGAATCCTGTCAGTGGTACTGATATGAGAGGGAGACAGAGGGAGAGCAGGACATAGAAAACTTAAGAGAGGTATAGGCTGAAAAAAAAACTCTTGATTGAATTCAGTCAGCAAGAATCTATTCTTGTATAATATGTTGCTTTTGTGGACATTCTGGACAGTGTACAATTGTACATATACATAGATCATGTGCGTTTCTAAATGCTTATAGAGAAGCAAGCAAGCCAAAAACTCAAGGAAGAGGACTGCCTAACTCAGTGAAATGAACCTTATTTACTACAAGTTTCTAAAACAATGGATCATAACATGAGGCACAAAGATCCAGAAAAGTTGTAGTGATTTAATCTCGAGAGTTAAAATTAACTTAAATCAAAGCATAACACTAGGGAAAAATTGTAAATAACCACCCCTCAAAGAACCTAATATTGATCTTAACACCCCTTCTTTTGTTTTTTTTAAATAACCACCCCTTAAAGAAAAAAAATTTAGAAATCACCACCTCTTTACATTTAGTTTAATTTTTAACATAAAAACATTGATTTTCATGCCAAAACTTGGCTAATAAGGTTTTGGGGGTCACTTTGGCTATTCAAATCCAATTTGAGGTCAAATGAAAAAAAAATATTGGAAATGCCTTGTTTTGCATGTTGAAAATTACCTCAATTTGCATGAAACTCTTAAAATGAGGCATTTCCGATACATTTTTTTTGGGTGTATTGAACTAAAATCAGACCAAAGGGCTAATCTAACCCCCAAACCTAAAAAGACCAAGTTTTGGTACGATAATCGATAACTTTTTGTTAAGAGGTGGAGATTTCTAAATTTTTTCACTTTAAGGGGTGGTTAATTAAAATAAACAAAAAAATAGGTGGTAAATTCAATTTTAGGGGTGGTTATTTACAATATTTTCCTAAATCTAATCTAGCCCTTATTTCTATATCACTGAACATATTTCCACGGCACAAAAGGAATAGAGGAATTTGTCATCAAATCAATTTTGGCATTTTAGACTTAAACAATGAAATACCTTCAACTGGAGGTAAGGATAAATTTAATTAGAACTCAATAAAACAAGCTAGGAAGTGATACACTGGATTTCCATTAGGAAATTACATGATTAAGCCTATATTGAGAAAAAGCAAACACCAGTAATATATTTGTCCCATGTAGAGGAATCCACATTCCAGGCAACCTCAGATTGGAATAATAATGGCAACAGCATCCCAGGAGAAATCAAAGCTCTTAAAGGCAAGCAAATAGATGTAAGCAGTCAAATAATTGGCACATGCTTGGAAGCCAACCTCCAAAATTATAGATTCTAACTCCAACCAAAACTTAAGCTCAGATAACCAGTTTCCATAGATGTGTAGTTAAAAAAAGGCTGTAATAAGCACCGGAAATTCTACAATACTATCATTGAAAATTTTAAGCTGGCAGGTAAATACTATAGTGGAATGCAATCTCATGAGAATCACCTCAAGTTGGTGAGACATTTAAAATTTCTAAGCGTATTGAACACATAATGCAAATAAATAACATTTATTTCAAGGGTCCAAAGTTATCTAAACTCTCTCAATCCCCGAACAAAAATTAAGATCACCAAAACAAATTCTCTAAATAAAAGTATCCCTGAAAAAGCGGGCCTATATGCTAACGCACAAGGCTCTAAGGGTAAGCACATAACTTGGTCTAGGTGAGGTGTTTGTGGTTAGGTGCATGAGGTGCACCAAAAGAGCACTCGAGGTGCAAATGAGGCCCATTTGAGGCAAACTTCAGCCAATATTTTTTAATTGTTCATATAGGGCACCTCACTTTAAAGAGGCACACCTAGGCGCAGCAAAACCCCTTTTGCTTTAGCGTGCCTTGAGCTTTTTATATATGGTATAGAGGGAGTACAAAGTACGTGTAATATGAGGAATTTCAAAGCAAAGAGATACATTGATTAACTGGTTAAAAGACAAATTGTCTCTGTCAGTAATTTTATCATAATTAACAATAAGTTTATAACAAAGTGACCATTAATCATCACGCTTATGTGCCTATGAAAATATACTAGGCTACAAAACATATTTCCAAGTTAAAGGGTTTTGTTATTGTTATAGCCTTGTAATTAGTAATCTTGACAGTTGGAGAGAGAGAGAAAGAGAGAGAGCCTTACATACTCTATTCCACCCAAAGAAGGATAGAGCCACATGATCATTGCAAGGTCTGCAATAAAGTACCCCACAGATACCTGTCAAATTTCATCTGAGTTACCACAAATTAAATTATACATTACTAAAAGATGAGTAAATTAAACTAATTTCCATAATAATGCTGACAACAAGCTAAGAATCCTACAGCATACGAATTATTATAAGCTATAATAGATACACATTCTAGATTGCATTCTTTTTCATCTTCTTAATTTTAACACAGCAACAACAACAACAAAGCCTTAGTCCCAAAACGAACTAGGGTAGCTAACATGAACTGTCATGAGGAATTATCTGGAAAAAATGGAACAAATATAACAAAATATATCAGAGGGAGCATGGAACAAAGAGAATAAAGTAGCTTCAACTAGAAACAACAAGATGGTAAGCAAGACTTTAAAAGCAAATACCAACAGTATCTGCCATGGATAGGATGGGTAACAGGTTAGAAATTGAGAAATTTAAAACCACCCCATGGTTGGGTGAGTTAAATAGATTGCATGCCACGCCATGGTCCATTCAGCCTAATACACTAAGCCCTTTAATTTTAAGTTGTAATTCAAAATTCAGGTGTTACAACTTTTAAGCATCTTTAACATTTTTCAGTAGCATACAAACTGGTAAGCACTCTAACTTCAATGACATAAGGACACCCCATGGTTGGGCAGTTACAGCTTGGATTATTATCAGCCCAATAAAGTGTTGATTTGGAAGTTGTACAAGGTAAAGGCAACATGTAAGTAAATCCTTTTCATCCCATCAAACCAAATCCCACAGCAAGAAAGAACTCTAGAAGTTTAGAAGCTTAAGAAAACAACAATGAACCCCCAAAAAAAAATAATAACACAAACAAACCACCAATCCAGTTCTTAATATCAGAGGATCATACGAAACTCAGACAAGGAAGAAGTAATAGAAAACAGTGGGCCCGTACAAAGCTCCACATTGGTGATGAAACTTGAAGTCCCAAATTTTGAAACATTCACAGGGGCAGCTAAATTAATAGATATATAAACTTGGGCTTGACAAAGGAAACAAAAAAAATGAAAATCACATGCTTGTTGTATGCATATGTCATTCTTATTTTTAATTTTTTTGGCACTTCTTGAAATGAATAGTATGGCTAATGACAATTAAATAGAAAAGGTTCAATATATACAAAAGTCCATAACTTTCGTATCCAGGGTATTAAACCCAAAATAAGTACTCCGAAAATGAAGAATATATCTTTAACAAAAGATTAATTTAAACAAGCATATTGCTCTGACCCTTCTATGGCTACTTTATCTTGTAATCAAAATACGAATTAATATATAGATGGAACCAAGAACTACTCTCCCAAATAACTTGTCCCCCCCACAAAAAAAAAAAAAAAAAAAAAAAAAAAAAAAAAAAAAAAAATATTGTATGCTAAATTACCCACAAAAGCTTTCTATTCCTACTCTCTGATTATTCTCCTTTACACTCCTATGTTTAAACCTATCCAACCCACTTCACACTCAGTGTCATCAACCCCAAAAGAGAGTTCACTGATGCATCAAAAAAGTAAGAAACAGCATACAAAATACTGAAATCACACTTCCACATCAAATTATTTCAAAGCAGAAATCCTGTAGCATCATACTCCCAATGTCCCATTAAACCTAGAATATTTTGTGACTACAGAATATAACACATATTAAATGTCATTCACTCTGTCCCTACAATAATGTAGGCCACAGTTCTAGTTTGGATTGTCCCAAAATAATTATAAGCTTACAGAGTTTCCATATTACCATCAATGATAACCTGAAGGAAAACCTACGCAGTGAAATAGTACAGATGTAAATGTTAAAGAATAAGGCCCTGTTCACTTCAACTTAAAAAATAATATTCAGTAAAATTAATTTCACTTCAGTAAAATTAATTTCCATTCGGTAAAAATAAGTTCAATCAGTAAAAATAATTTCAAATTAGTAAAAATCGGTAACTCTAAAGAGGAAATATAATAAAGAAACAGTAAAAATAATTTCAATTCAGCAAAAATAAATTCAGTTCAGAAAAATTAATTTCAGTTCCCTTACAAAAAAAAATATTAATTTCAGTTCAATTAAAAATAATTTCAGTTTAGCAAAAATAAGGTGAAGTGAACGGGGCCTAATACTCGGGTTTATAACCTAATTCCTTATAATAGACTTAATCACATGTGGACTATTATGTAGGGATGAAGGGAGTAGTAGTTAGGGTTTTATACAGACATAATATTTCCCATCAAGTATCAAGCACAAAAAAGTCTTCAAAATTCAGAATGGACATGTACAATGCGAAACCAAAATATTATTCTATAGAATACAAGGACAGTGGAGAGAGTAATATAGAGTTTCAAGGAAAAACATAGACATAAACAAATCTCAGGATAGACAAATTTCAGCTTCTGCATTTTTCTCCATTCCCACAAGAAATACAAATAGTTGAGCAGCCATGTAAATAAGAAGGTAAACAAGCAATTGAATTATTGTACTCAGTAGAATTGTACAATCTGCATGGCATATAAATAAAGGTTGGATGAAAACAGTGAGCAACCTCCAAAGCTCCTCAGCCCAACGCCCTAGACATAAGTTAATACTACACCAAGTCGCTAAATGTCCTAAAATAAGACCCTATCTCTTCAAACATCAAAATTCAAATGTCAGCACCAACAACACACAGTTTTCTCAATCCCTGGATCATGTCAAAATGAATATCTTATCAGCACTAATTGTATATCATCATATGATCTCTGAGGCTTCTTTTCTGGCAAATAAATTCTAGGATCAAATTAAAGGAGTGTAGTATTTGCAGCACAGAACAAATGACAACAGCTTTACATTTAAAATACCAATAGAAATTCTTCCAATAGCAACCTAAGCAAAAACTTACATTCAGGGCAACTAACAAGTGATGTTTGTGTTGTGTAGAAATTTAGAAAGAACATAATAGAAAATAAGACAGGTTGCAACAAAAAATTCAGAAATATAAACACTTACTCCTAGTGTAAAAGTTGAGAGTGTTGAGCTACGGAATGTAACATAACCATTGGTCTGATAGTCAGCATATAGGTCTGACCAGTAAACAAAATATAACGACATTGCTGCAATGAAAAGGGCATGAACCGTCGAGATGCCACTGCAAATTATTCAATACAAAATAAGACAGGTTGCAACAAAAAATTCAGAAAACAAAGGGTTTAGTGAGGAGTTGAGGACCAACCGATTGTTCCATTCGATCCTTTGTACTTTGTTAAGACCAGCATAGCACTTGAAGTACAGGGCACTAAACAACTGGGTAAGATTATAGATCTACAAACACAAAGTATGAACACAAACCATGATCAAATTCAAACATTCAGCATAAATAGAAATTTAAAAAAAAAAAAAAAATTCAAATTCTGCTGCATTGCAAGATTACAACCTACCCAACAAACTTGAAGATGATATAAGCAAGTAAAAGCATTAATCATTCACTTAATATTAATAATCTGGATCAACCTGTTATTTTGTCATACATTCCTAAACTAATACCATTTCAGTATATATATCCATATCTTAATCTAAAGCCAAGCATATCATACCCCGAAAACGGAAGGGAGAAGTAAAATCTGAACATACCACTTTACAGGCTAAAATGCCTGCAATAATTGAAGTGTAAGGAATTATAGGATCAGACAACAAATGATTCTTGACAAGATTTTCAGCCTGATTTTGGTAAGACTTGATAGCCATAACAGTCTGCTTTGAAACTGCCATTTACCAAATGATGAAACTCCCTCAAATCGACCAAATAAAATACCAATTTAGATTTCTGCCATTAAATTGAGCTTCCTGGAACAATAAAGTCAATAACACATTTTCAAAATAACTGCCATTAAAATGCAATTGAAAAATGCCCATTAAGTCATTTGTATTGAACAATTGAAAATCAGACTAAAACAAGAAAAGGGTAGTTTACCTTGAAGCAGATCTGAATATTGTTGAAGAAGAAATTTTACTGCCTAATGAATCAACTGGGGTTTTTTTTAATTTTTTTAAGGGAATATTTCGAACTTGTGAGATTTATCAAGTGCGAATCTACGAATTGAGGGAAATTTTTTTTTTATTTTTTTTTTTGACAATAATGATGTACCAGTATAAAAATTAGAAAATCAGAGATTGGACTCACCAATTATATCTGAAATTTCGTGAAAAAAAGCACCTGGACCAATCGAAGGAAGAAATACGATTGAAATTATAGGTGCATATGAAAATAATGAAATTTTAGGTGCATAAATACGTAGTATAAACATACATGTAAATAAATTTATTTTTTTAAAAAAAAAAAAAAGAAAAGAAAAAAATAACCATGAATTGTTTCGGTTTTTTGTGTCCCTCGGGAGAGTTACAACACCAAAACTGGATTCCGAGCGCCTGTACCTGCAAAACAACGGAGACTCCGGTTGAGTGGAGTTCCGCCTTTGACGATCAAGTTAGAACGTGTTCGGACGATGTAGAAAGTGCGAAAAGTAAACAATAATCAATAATTGCTCTGTTTTTGCGAATATTTCTGAATGTGTCCCATGATGAGAACATCTCCCTATTTATAGGGTCTCGAAATGCGTGTCACCATCATAGGTTACGGAAACCTAAGAATGGTGGGCTATCTCAGGAATTGGGCCAGGAAGACCGCCTTTTTCTCAATGATTGGAGATGCCATGTGTCAGCAGGGGATTGGTTATCTGTGAACCTCTCATGAGGTGACACGTGTCACCATCTCATTAGGCCACGTGGCCCTGGGTATTTTTACCCAAAACATTTGCCCCTCACTGGTGTAACATGGCAGGCCACGTGGCACCTGTGATACCTATCAAGCGGTCATTGGAGAACGGTTTTTAACCATTTGTCTTTCAGGGAAATTACGGGTATGCCCCTAAATTACCCTTCTATTAATAGATTTTTACCCTCCCTTTTTTGAACATTTCCAAAAGTAAGAGAGAGAGAGACATTCGTTTTTAGAGAGATAAACTCTGACAACCGCCTGTATATCTTTCAGACAATTGCCTTCTTTTTCCATTAGATACAAACGGTAAAACGTCTATGCTTTTGTCAGACAGGAAAACCATTGAGAACCGCCTGTGTTGTTTGCAAGCAATTCTTCTTTTTCTAAGGGGTACATCCGGGTAACCATCTGTGCACCCAACAAACAAAACCTCTTAGAACCATCTGAGTATCCTTCCAGCAGATTCACTTGCTTTCTAGGTGGGCACATCCGGTCTACCGTCTAAGCATCTTGCAAGCAACTGTCCGATTTCTGCCTACTAGTAACAGCCGATCACCGCTTGATTACTTTCCAGCTCATCTTTGAGGTATCGTCTCCCCCCTTCTCAACTCTTTCATATATTTCCGTTTGTGTATATATTTTTCCATAAATGGATTTATTAACCAATAGCACACACGACACATCATGGTTTAGTAGGCAGCCGGTCCCCTGGTACGGCTAAGTCTAGGACTGCGGGTGCCGCCTCTAGTGCTTGGATCACTCTTTCTCATCTCCCAATTTGACCGTCTCCGTGTCTGTGCAGGACACTATGGCTTGGACTAGATAGACGGCTGTGGATCCGGATTATAGGAATGAGAGCACAGAAGAAGTGCCGCTTGAGGTAGAACGGGCTGAGATGGCAAGGGGATCTCCTATGGGTGCACCCAACATTCCTAGTGATGGGATCCTAGAGTCTGAGAATGGAGACGGTGAAGAAGTCGTCTCTGTACCTAAAGCTGAGGAGGCAGATCGAGGAGGCTGCTTCTGAGAGAGACGGGAGTGGGTCCGCCTCTGTGTCTGGGTCTAGCTCTAAAGAGAGCAGCAGCTCACTATCACCGGTTGAGTATAGTGAGGCAGAGGAGAGATCAAAGTAGAAAAATAAGGAGGTCCCTTTGCGGATCCATGTTTCTGCCAGAGACAAGGCAAACATGGAGAAGCACCTAGAGGTCTTCAAGTCCACACGTCCTCTTGGTGAGGGTTATGTCATCCGGATGCCGCCTAAATTGGGAACCATAGCCTGGAATTATGACCAGCCCAACACTAACAAGTATTTCGGCTACTATGAGGCGACCTTTTTAGCTGGACTCCGTTTCCCCCTCCTTGGTACCATAAAGGCTATCCTGCAAGGATATGGCCTAGGCGTGTGGCAGTTAACTTCAAACTCTTGGGTTAACATTCTGGGCTACATCGCCACCTGTGAGATGCAGGGTCTCCATCTCGGCTAGGAGGCCTTTGCCAATATGAATTATTTGAGCCGTAGTCCAGCCGGGTGGAGAGCGTGGTATACTCTGACCACCTACCCCAAATACTTAATGACCCTAGACAAACCGTCTAAGTGGTTAGACTGGAAAAACCAATTCTATCTGGTGTCTACCCCCAAGAAGAAAGAAAACTTTGAACTTCGCACGTACAACCGGAAATCGAATCTGCTGGGGTAGAAATGTAGGTTTCCACAAGTCTCGGATGAGGACTATGAGAAAATAATAGAGGCGGGGTTTTTCGAACTTACAACCACCGCTCTTTCAACCGAGGAGTTAATAAGTGTACCCAAAACTTGGGTATCCAGACATGAGTTTTTAAGGGATAAGGCATTTTTGTCCGCATGCGGGTTAAGCCCTAGATTTGACAGACGTAAGTAAAGCATGCATCCGGCAATATTATGTCGCCTTTAGTGTTATTAACTTGTGATTTATTGCTTGATAATCTAACAGACGGTGACTTTTGTAGAAACCGCCAGAAGGATGCTTTCCCAGGAGAAAACGCCTACTCGCTCTGCAGCAGACATCCGCAAAGAAAATGCGGAGAAGAAGAGAGCTGCATTGGCGGCTAAAGGCCAGGTATAAACCGCCTATCCCCTTTTCTCTCCATTTCCTTATTTATATATGCATAGTTTTGAACCTACTGTATTAATAATGACTGGCTCTTTCAGGGTGGAGACAAGGCTCCTAGGTCACTCTCCAAAATGATCAGACCAAGGCCTGGTGAAGAGGTCACCAGCTCCAACAAATCCTAGAAAAACAGCGTCTTCTTAAACGGCTTCCAAGGTTCCGCTTGACAAGAACCGTCTGACCATTGGGGGAAAAAGTATTAGAAATGTCAGTCTGGGGATTGACCTTTCTTTCCAGTCAGGTGCCTCTGAGGCATTGAAGGGTGGCCAGCCACCCAAAGCTGCAAGCGATTCTGCAGCGGTTGTAGGGGATTCAAACCCTCCGCACTACCCAAGGTACTGTTGACCCCTTCAACTCTCCTGTTGAGCTGGGTTGACCCATGCGGGTCAAGTCACATTCCCAGCTTCAATCAAAAGGATCTTCGTGCAGTCGGCAATCTGTTGGCGGGGCATATGTAGCTTTCTCACCATATCTAACTTCTGGTGCAGATCACTCCCCTCCTTGGCGATCTGAAGGTTGTCCCCAAGGAGGACAAGGAGGCCATCCCCGGGATTAATACATTCAATGTTGACCGCATCCTTGCTTTGCTGTGTGAGGTACAATAGTTTCATTTACTTTCTTTCATGTATATGCCGGCTGCTTTTCTAACCATTTTCATTTATATAGACGATGCTGCGAGTAGAGGGGCTAAAAAAGTCGTATGCCCGAAAGCAGGAAGAGGTAAGGCGGGCCAAAAGAGAGGCGTCTGAGTCCACTGATGTTGCTTAATATTCAATGATAATTCATGACCTTGAAACTAAAGCTCAGCTCTTGTCGTAGGAGGACTCCATCAAGCAGCTTAAGGCTGCCCTGAATGAGGCTAATCTAAAGGCCTCAAATCTGGAGGCAGAGCGCGACAATGTTGAGCTAGGGCTGAAAAATGCTCAGGCGAGTCTCAAATCCTTGGAAGAGGCTAAGAAAAAGAACGCCAATCTTAAAGCATACGTCGACTGTCTACAGAAGGAGATGGCCGCCTCCCAAGATAACTTCAAGGCCACACTAGAGGGCGAGCAAAGCTGTCTCGTTGAGGAAAATGAGCAAGACTGCGAGGACCGGATGAGAATGGCCTGGTCGCTCGTGTATCCCGAGGCGGATTATAACGTTTGGGAGCTGGCCTATAGATACGCAAATCTTGCCATCCTGGCTGAGGATGAGGGTCAGCCAAAGCGTGAGCCCTTCCAAGAGTGGGTCCAGAAGGAGCTTGTAGAGGAGGATGAGGATGAGGAGCTTAATGAGCAAGAGCAAGAGCCGGTTGATACTGACCAAGTTCAACCAAGGCAACCAGAAGGCGAGCTCCCATCCGATCAGGACCAGACGGTGCCTCCACCTCAACAACAAAATTAATCTTGTATTTGTTTCCGGCCTGCGTGCCGTGTATGTTGATGTATCTCTTTCTTTTCCGGATGTAGATCCGGCTAACAATTACTCTCCCAGCCTTTTGGCCGATTTTTTTATAATATGATTTGCCGACTATGTCGGTTTTGCTATATTTGCTTGAACTTTTCTATTTTTGCAATTTTTCAATGTGCACGTTGTTTCGGGGCTTTCTGATGTGTCCTGCGGGAGAGTTACAATTCCAAGAATGCCCTTCGACCGCCTGTACCTGCAAAACCACGAAGACTCCGGTTGGGTGGAGCTCCGCCTCCGACAATCAAGTCAGTGATGTACGGGAGGAAGAAAGTGCGTAAAAGAGGAATTACTTCTCGCGTAATGGGAGAATTCCGCAATTAAGATTGCTCGGTTTTAGTGTAAAATGTATTTATGATAGTATTGAATGCCAATTGATTGTAAGTGAATAATTGAATCCCCCATTAATGAGGACTCCCCCACTATTTATAGTGGGGAGCATTGGTTCCCCATTTAGGGTTCCTTGGACACGTGTCAGCAGGGGATTGGATTGGAGCCCTGCTGACCAATAGCCGGATGCCACGTGTCGCGCTGCCATTGGGCCACGTGGCTGGGGTAATTTTACCCCAAACATTTGCCATCTCAGGTGTTGACGTGGCACGGTGCCACGTGGCACCTGAGAAGAGAGCTGACGAAAATATATATATTTTTTTTATTTTATTTTTATTTTTGAAACCCCTTCAAATTCTAACTGAAGGAAGAGGGAAAAGCAGAAGGGAAAGGGTCGCACCCCTTTGCCTTCCGGGACAAACCCTATAAATAGGGGAGGAAGCACACGAAGCCTCATTTACAAACTTCGTGAAATTTCTAGAATTTTGTGAGCATCTGGTACTTGAAATTCAAAGCACAAGGAGACTTCATTGTTTTAAGAGCAGCCGGTTTTCAGACCGCC